CCTAATCTTATATTTTTATAACCTTCCAATATTTTTTAAATGTGCTGGTTCTTCCTAGGTTCTTGAGGAAAAAAAAATAACTTCCAGCAGAGAATGTCAAGGTTTCCTGTGTGGGACTGATGTTTGGCCTAGTGGGATACCCACTTCCTATATACGAGTGCTTGGGTTCAGGACCAGGCTCTGCTTCTGATTCCAGCTTCTTGCTGATAAATGTCAGGATGAGAGTCAAGCACTTGTCCCTGCTGCTCACTGGGAGACCCGGATGGAGTTGTGGGACTGGCCCTGTGGCCCTGTCCTGTTTGCAGGCATTTCAGGCATCTCAGGTAGAGATGGGAGTACACTCAAAAAGAAGGTTTCCTGTTTCTAAAAATATGCAATTGGAGAAGCAGTTCGGCTGCATAACACAACTTTGGAATTATCCTTTCTTTTTCTCCTGCATTTTAACTGAATCTGATTTCTTTGAACTATAATTTTTTTAAAGTTTTTTTTTTTTAAATTTATTTGAAAGGCAGTTACAGAGAGGCAGAGGCAGAGAGAGAGAGAGAGAGAGAGGTCTTCCATCTGCTGGTTCACTCCCCAAATGGCCTCAACAGCTGGAGCTGGGCCAATCTGAAGTCAGGAGCCAAGACCTTCTTCTGGGTCTCCCACATGGGTGCAGGGGTCCAAGGACTTGGGCCATCTTCCACTGCTTTCCCAGGTCACAGAGGAGCAGCCAGGATTTGAACCAGTGCCTGTATGGGATGCCGGCACTGTACATGGCAGCTTTACGCATTACAGAACATTGCCACAGCTCCAGCCAGGAGCTATAACTTTTTACAAAAGTGTTCTTTCACTGGTAACATTTGAGGATTTTTTTTGTTATTAATTTTATTTTCATTATGCTGGGCTCACAAAATATATTATGCGTCATTTCAATCCTTCTAAATTTTTTAAGAGTTGTGCTAGGCCCACCAGAGAAATTTAAAAACAATATCTATTTTTAGCTTGCATTTATCGCTCTGTATTTGTTAATTAGGTAAGTCAGTTTGCCCCAATAGCTTTCTTCAATGATCTTAACCTGCACTGAAATTTCTTGGTTGCTGGCAGCGTGGAGGCGTGTCTCTCGGATCGCCCTTCAAGAAGGAACTTGTGTCAGCTGCAGGGTTGCTGTCAGACGCGTCTTGCTTCAGCCTTTGACCATCCTCCACTGTGGCCAGGCTGAGGTCAGTTCCTTCCCACGGAGCCTCCTGGGTCTACACTGACTCCTGGCTGCTGGGCACAGGTGTCCTTGTGGCCAGTCTTCCCTGGAGCTTCCCGCTGGGCCAGGGAAGACTGTCTCAGAGCTGAGCCCAAAGCTGAAGCTTTTCCTACCTTTCTTTCTCCTCTCCTTTCGCAGAGACCAGGCCCTTGTGGTCTGAAACCTTTCCCTGCACACATCTTCTGCCTTTCCTCTTTGCTCTAGGCGCGTTGCTACAGTGTTTCCTGGACTTCTCAGGACAGCTCAGTGTTTGCTCTCTGTAGAGCCCAGCTTCCCCAGCTGTATCAGCAGGGGTCTGTGCGGGTAGGTGGGAAGGTGTGTTTTGGCAACTGCACCACTTGCTGTCAAGCCTGGATGTTCCCAGGACTCAAAGAGTCAGCAGTACAAAGCAACCTAAAGGAGAGGGGAGCAGCTAAGATGCTGAAGTTGGCTGTTTATCCCTGAGTTCTTGACACAGAAGTCCTAAACTCTCTCTGTCATGGAAACCTCTTCATGAGAGGTTTCATTGGTAGGTTGGGAGCACAGCTGACTACCCAGACAACAACAGCCATTGACTGGATGCTTTAATTAAGCCTTAAAGGGCAGAGCTGGGAAGACAGTTAACAGCCACAGTGTCCCTGAGGGTCACCTAAGCAATCAGTGCTTGTGCTGCATGATCAATACAATGAAAGCAAGGAGTGCCCGGGGACAGGGGACGGAGGCCCTGCACTTTCCCGGCAGAAAGTCAAGTTCTTTAGAAAGGCCCTGGGCCTAGGCCTGCCTGCCTCTTTTTCTAAAAGTTTACGATTTTTAAAAGTTTATGTCTAGGCTGATTATTTGTCATTTTTAGTTAACTTTGTGAGGAGTTAAATTCTCCATTTCTAGGGACTTTCACTTCTAGGAGGATGAGTGACTCAGCCCCCAATAGCAGAGGCAAAGCCTTGACTTCCATCACCTGAAACAACATGTACCACAGTTATCACACACAAAGCGCACACATACACACATGTGCCGCGCACCACATAGACATACCACACAGGTGTCTCAGGAAAAGAGTAGGGAAGCGAGACTTTCATTTTCCCAAGATCTCCCTCTCCCAGTCAGAATGAAGGTCAAACAGCTAGGTGCCTCCTTCCATAACCTTGAGTCTCTGTTTGATAGAGCATCATGAGATGGGGTTGTTTGATCACCGTAAAACTCGAAGTGATATGAAGAAGGTGTATCACCCAGATTTAACTTATTATCTGAATAGCAGTCATTTAAGAGCAAAAACAAGCATAGAGTCAAATTCCCCAGAAGTAAGGGGACTTCCAAAAGTCCAAGGAAAAATGGAATTTAACAACAGGTTTAGGGGTAGGCGTTTGGCCTAACAGCTAAGACAACTGCATCCCACGCTGCAGTATCTGGGTTTGCTTTCTGGCTCCAGCCCCTGACTGCAGCTTTCTGCTCCTGTGGCCCCAGGGGGTGGCTCAAGCAGCTGGGTGAAGTTCCTTGCTCCTGGCTTCAGCCTGGTCCAGCTCTGGTCATTGTGGCTATGTGGGGCATGAACCAGTAGATGGAAGATCTCCCTTCTTCTGTCTGTCTCTCCCTCTCTGTATCTCTGACTTTCAATAAATGAATAAATCTTTATTTAAAAAAAGTCTACTTTGCCATATTAAAATTTCACAAGAAGGAAAAACTCCAAAATTGTGCATTACCGCATGATGTCTTTATTACACACATAATTGGTTATGTAATAAAACCTATGAAGAAAGAAGGAATGGTTAGAAACAAGTACAGATGTTCTAAACTGAAGGTGGGCCCAGCTGCACAGTAGATGACTAGACAGAATGACAGTAACGCACAATATCGGGCTTGAAACTTCTGATTTTAAAATAGCTCTAACCTATTGTGTTAATATAAATATAAATATAATGCTAATTGATTTTTAACCAATTTCTTAATTTTTTTATATCTAGACATAATAGCAAAAGGCTACTTAGCTTTGGCTATGACTTCAGACAATCAATATATTTATAATCAATCACTCAATATTTGTATGAATTAGGACTTCAGTAAACTTTATTTTAATCTTCTATCATAATAAGTGAATGTGGTATAATTTGGCTCTGACCATGACATTCCATTTCATATATTATTACTGTATTTTAGCTTCATTTTGTTTCTACATCTCAAAAGTTATTCATTATGGATACTTTAACAGCAATCTTGTTTCATGCAGGCATGTGTGTTTTGGTGTTCTTGTGTGTTTTCTAATGTCCCTACTCTGTGTTCTGTTTCATTCATCAGTTCCAATCTTTGTTCATTAATCTGTTCATCACCTTTGCTGTATCTACTTTCAAATTATGGTTGAGCTTTCATACTGAGGAAGGTATTTCTTCCTTTTTGGCTCTATTATTTCTTTTTAAAGTTACCTTTTCTTGTATTTAGCTCTTAAGGATCTAATGCTTTGTTTACTGTGTTTAATGACTTACAGTTAGATTCAGGAGGTAAATAAGGGAAGAGAGAAATAATGGAAAGAGAGAACTCCAGGAAGCTCCGAAGAAGGAATTGCACTCAGAGATGATGATCATATCCATGAACACTGTGCTATATATGGCTAAGACTTCACGTAACTAGGGGGCCTTTCTTAGGGTTAGTTGTATGTCCTCAAGGGAGCAGCCATAACTAAATTTCTGCTACGGATTGAATGCTTGTTCCCCCCAAAACTCCCTCCCACTCCCCTTCCGAGTTCATGTCTTGAGTCTTCATCCTCAGCGTGATGGCGTTTGTAGGTGAGAGCTTTGGGAGGTGATGAAGTCAGCAGAGTGGCGCCTTCAGGAATGGAGTGAGTGCTCTCTGCTGACAACAGAAGCCCAGAGAAACATTCTGTCCCCGCCTACCAGGACACAGCAAGAGGGCGGCAGTCAACAACCCAGGAAGCTTAGACAGACTCTGAGAGCACTTTACATTTGAATTTTTCAGCCTCCAGAACGGTGAGCAATAGGTAGATGTTGGCTGTTTAAGACTCCCAGTCTTCAGGATTTGCTACAGCAACCCTAACTGGCTGTGAAGATTCCCTAGGCTTCTGTGCAGCTAGGTTGCAGGGATGTGCCAACGCGAGAATTCTTGCCGAAGAAACATGGGGAGTAAATCTTAGGCAGAATTGCTCCCGCCAAGGTCAAGAGTAGAAGTGTGCTGAATACAGGTCGATTGTTACACTTTTAGGGGCAGTGGTGGTCTAGGGCCTGGAAGTGGAAACATAACTGTCATGAAACATTAGGAGGAGGGGTGGTATTGAAGGGGGTTGATCACTGTGCACTGAAGTATGTGTGGAGAGAAAGTGACAGCTCAGAATTATAAACTCTCAGCTAAATGTACGGTTACTGAATCAGGGATTTTCTCCGCCTTAAGACAGTTTTTAACTTCTTGTATCCCAAGAACTGACACAATTCAAAAATGACATTCACATTATATGCAGCTCTGTGGCTTTCCCACTAAAGGCAAGTGAACGCACTGTGGCATATTCACACAATCACATATTACACAACCGCTAACATGAAATGAATTCATGAATGGCAGTTCCATGCAACAAAGTAAGGGTTAATTTTTAACAGAAAGAAGTAAAATCCATGCATTATGTTTAGTCTGGTATCCTGTATTTATAATAAAAGTATACAATTTTTAGAAATACCAGTAGATGAGATCAAGTTAAGGAAAGCACTTTGAACTTACTTGTTGAGGGACCCAATAACTTCACCTTCCTTAGGTTATGACAAATCCATACATTTAGCAGAAAATGAATTAATTTGCAATAGGAACACCTAGTTTTGTGAAGATAAGACGATCCTAGAGATAGCCTCTGATGCAGTTTCAAGCTCTGTCTATGATTTCTGTGGAGTACATTTGGCATTGACAGCAATTCTGTATGATGAGTAATGTCACAAAAACGGCCAAAAGAACACCATGGAAGCACTCAAGCTCACCAGGCTATTTCGTCGCTCTGTTAAGCTTGCCGCAAGCATTCAAGTGGGTCCAGCAGTGTTCAGAGGGCTCACAGTCACTGTTCATGTAAAGAATGAGTACGTTCTCACCCTCTTCATTTCTCACAGAAAACGGAGCACCTGGAAGTCCTGGCGGTCACGCCTGACAGACCACGCCTGGTGCAGCCCGCTCTGCGCGGAGGGGTCCCCCCGCGCCGAGTCAGGTCACAGGAAGTGCTTCACCACCACCTTCTACAAAGCAGTAAGTCAAAGAGGGAGGACTCAACTCTAAACCATCACGGCTGTGTGTCAGTCTCTGTTAAGTGGGTGTGTGTGTGAGGGGGGGTGGTTAAAGGGACACGAGGCCACAGAGTCCCTAAAAGGGAAACCAATCCTTAGAACCAGCCCTCTTGTGGGGTCATTTTTGTTCTTAGGAAGAAAAAGCCTAGGTTCCACCGAGATTTGAACTCGGATCGCTGGATTCAGAGTCCAGAGTGCTAACCATTACACCATGGAACCCCGCTCTGGAACGGGGCGCAGCAGCGCCTCCAGCAGCAGGTGCACGTCCTGTCTGCTCCCGGCGCCTCCCTCACAGACGCCGGGGCCGCGGCTGGCGTCCTCTCCCGCGCGCTCGGGGCTGCGGGGTCTCGGGCGCCCGGCGAGCGGCCCTGCAGCACCCAGGGGGCTCTTCTGCGCAGGGGCAGGGGTCCAGGGGGCTCTGCCCGCTGCTGCCGGGGACGGCGGCGCTGCCTTCGCGGCTCCTCGAACGCCGGACACCGCCCGGCGACCGCTACCCGACGGCCACACCGAGGGGCAGAGTCCTGGGCCGAGGGCGGGCGGTCTTTGAGACTGGGACCTTCCCAACAAGATCCCAGGAGCGATGGTGGCGTAGGGCTGGACCCTTCTCCTGCCGCAGGCGACACTGCGGCGATAGGACTGCCAGCGGCCACCCGCCGCGGCCTCGCTCCCCCGGCCCGGGGTGCCCACCGCCCTCTCACCAGAGCGCAGGACTGGAAACGCAACACCGTGAGCACTCTCCACCCTGCTCCAGCTCGCCGCGGGCTTTTTGCAACACTTGAGGTCCATACCACACACGTGGAGTGAGCACTCCTAGGCGCCGGAGCTGTACCGGCTTCTGGGCTCGGCAAAGCAAGTACCTGAAGATATGTGCCCCGACAGCAAATTAAATAGTGGGTTCTAACCCAAAACACCAAAGACGTGCCCTGATACAAACAAATGACTGATAAATACATAAATGCAGAGACATTTGGAAACTAAATAAAATGCATATGACTTAGCATGAAGATTCAAACCACTTCCTACATCTGACAGCAGCCTCTCTGACCTGCAGCCAACTCCTGTCTTCCAGGGAGTCTGCTGCACAGAGTAATTCCAAATAGCCTAACTCCTCACTTCTTAACTGCAGGAAATGAACCCACCTGAGACCACCTTACCCACCAAAGGGTGGGCTCCCTTAAGTGAAGGAAGCAGAAAGCAAGGCCCCGACTTGGAGGTGCTGGCCTGCATGTGGGATCCCAGAGAAGGGCTGTGAGTACAGCGGCACCCACACTGAACGGTCCAGGGACCCCAGGGGATGGGAGGTAGCAGTCTGGATAAGCTGTGATGCTGTGATGTGAAGGAAAACTGCATGTCTGGGTTTGGGCAGTGACCGAAGGGAGCCGAAGCCCAGATTTCTTCTTGCAAAAGATGCAAGACAGGGATGCAGTTGGTGACCTGTGCCACGGTGAAAGTTGGGGGATGACCTGAGGTCATGGGTCAGGCCAGGGGGCCTGCTTTAGGGACACAATTGTCTGCTTTGAACTGCAGATACCAGGGGCAGCACGAGTGACCTCGGGGAGCATGGGAGAGTCCATGTGCTTTTTGCTCTCAGTAGAGCAGTAAGGGGCGGGCACTGTGGGGTTACATCGGGCTAAGCCTCTGCCTGTGGCACCAGCATCCCATGTGGGAGCCAGTTCTAGTCCCGGCTGCTCCCCTTCCGATCCAGCTCTCTGCTGCTGGCCCAAATGCTTGAGCCCCTGCATCTTTGTGGGAGACCCAGAAGAAGCTCCTGGCTCCTGGCTTCAGATGGGCCCAGCTCTGGTCATTGCAACCATTTGGGCCATGAATGAGCTGATGGAAGATATCTCTGCCTCTCCCTCTCGCTGTAACTCTCTCTCAAATAAATAAATAAATCTTAAAAAAAAAAAAAAAAGAAAGAAAAGAAAAAGAACAGTGAGCGTGCCATGCCCTCTACATGGCTGAGGGGGGTTCCCCGGCAGGGACCTGCTGCTTTCAGTCTGTGGGAATTGGTGTGGACCCTTCACACTCATCACCATCTTATTTATTCTAACAGCAACAACAACAAGATGCTGTTGGAAAAGTCTCTTTCCCATTCCCAAGACCAAGAAGTCATTAGAACCAGGATTATACCATGACCTTTACTCCGGATTCCAGAGCACATGGAATAAAACCTGTGAATCCTCTGCACCAGAAAGATGTCGCGAGACACATCTCATTTTGTTGACAACAGCAGGGTGTTTGTGGAATGAAATCTGTGGGGCCTGGGCTAAGAACCTTCTCCATTCAGCATTGATCTGTATGTTGTCTAACCTAATCAGAAATAAATGGAACAAGCAGAAATTGAACATCATCTTTCACTACGCCTGAACATCTCATTAAGCTTGGTCTTTTACATTAGGTCAGAAGTGCACCTGTACTGGTCAGACCAGTTCTCACAGCATGCCTGGAGCATGGGTTTCAGACAACACAGTTTGAGGAGGTGACTCAAACACTGGAGTTCAGACAAAACCCTGAAAAATGGTTGCATTTTTATCACAGCAGATTTGGACCCATTCTGAGATTCTGAGATTTGTTACAAAAATGTACTGGTCTCTGTGAGATGCTGATTCTGTCCTCAAAGGAGAAAGGTATGTGCCTCAAATAAATTGCAAATGTGGGCATTCATTCACTCAAGATGAATCCTTAAACTCTGAACATCAGAGAGGCTGGCTTTTCCTGCCAGCGTCGCAGGTGGGTGCCAGATCAAGCCCAGGCTGCTCCACTTCCAAACCAACTCCCTGCTATGGCCTGGGAGGGAGGCAGAGGACAGCCCCGGTGCTTGGGCCCCTGCACCGAGTGGGAGACCTGGAGGAAGCTTCTGGATCCTGGCTTTGGATCAGCAGAGCCTGGCTGCTGCTGCCGTTTGGGGAGTGAACCAGCATTTGGAAGATATCTCTCTCTCTTTCTCTCTCTCTTTCTCTCTCTCTTTCTCTCTCTCTCTCTTTCTCTCTCTCTCTCTCTGTGTGTGTGTGTGTGTGTGTGTGTGTGTGTGTGTTACTCTCTGTCCCTCTGTCATTCAAACAAACAAATCTTTAGAAAAATTGGAGCGGGCATCAGGCCTACACTTTTGACAATTGTATCCCATATCAGAGAGGCCTTGCTGCTAATCCAGCTCCCTGCTGATGTGCCAGGGAAGGCCTAGGAGGATGGCCTAAATGCTTGGGCCTTTGTCACCCACATGGGAGACCCAGATGGCGTTCCTGGCTCCTGACTCCTTCAGCCTGGCCCAGACCCAGATGTTGCAGGCATTTGGAGAATGAACCACTGGATGGACAATCTCTTGCTCACTTGTTCTCTCAATCTGCTTTTTGAATAAATAAATAAATTTTGAAAAGAGAGACTAACTCCTATGACAGAAAAAGAGATTTTCTGTGTAGCTGACACTAATTTCCCCTTAGGGCTGCAAAATTCTCTGAATTTGGTCAAACATTTTTTCAGTTCCTTTTTAATTAACCCATCCGGTCTGCACTGATCAACCTCCAGCTGTGTGCAGCTGTCCTGGGACATCACCCTCTGCTGGAAACCTTCTTTCCTGTGCTTAATCCTCTTTGCACTGAGTCACAGATCTCCTGGATTTGGTCCTTTCTTGGGTGGAGATGACCCTCCAACCACTTTCTGAGAAGAGAGACGTTTTTGGAAAGCTTGCATACGACCGTCTGCAGGCTGCTTGCACCTAGACATGCTCCTGGCTCCCCTGTTTATCACCTCTGTTTCAAAAGTCCTGGCCGCTGATTTCCTCCACCCACCTGACCCTGCTGGGCTCAGTCGATAGCTGGCTAAAGGAGAACACGGAGGGAAGATAGAAGCTGGGGTAGTTCACACACCCCGGCACCCCACCCACCAGCCCCTTCCCTGCAATGTCCCTGGAAGTGGTGAATCAGGATCCTGCCATACCAGTCTGCGTCATCTCCACACACCTGCACCAGATGGACATCCTGCTTCTCTGGGATTCCTGCCCCCGAGGGAGATCCTGCCCAAAATGGGGCTCCCACCCTGGGGTTCTCACTGCCTCTTGCTCCCCAAGTCGGTGTTTTTGATCCCCTTCCCCACTCAGGGCTCCCAGTAACCAATTCCTTCCATGAAAATGGATCATTTCAACCCATCTTTTTGAATGGCACAATTCAACCCACTACAGGAGCAGCTGTCTTTTTGCTGGACTGAAATAAAATGGATGTGGGAAAGAAAGACCCCCAGACCTCAAGGATTTCTCCTGCCAGTGTCTGAAAGTCTGTCTGAACCTACCTGTCGGAGCCCTGGGGAAGCGCCTCCATTCCCAGACACCAAAGCCTTTGTCCTGGCCATCCTCTGTGTAGAACAGAAAAATGGGAAGCCTGGGTCTGCGGTGTTTCCCGTAAGCAGCCGTCTTTAAACCCAGGAACAACCTGCAGTTAGTTTGGCATTCACAAACTCTTGTGAGCTGGGTTGGGGAGAGAAGGTGCCCCCACTGCAAAACCCTGGGAGACGTCTTCCCACGGGAACTGCTGGTCTCCCTCCACCGGGGAGCGTGGGGACCTTCTCAGCTCCGTCTCCTCCCACGTCCAGGAGAGCAGGACCTGACACTAACCTCTCATCCAACACCTCCGCCCAAACCCGGTTTCTCAGCTAGTCCTTCAAGCCAGCCGGAGGGCAGAGCCGTGTGAAGCCGGCGAAGAGGTTTTGCCTTAGTATTCAGGCGGAGGACTGAAGTTACTAGGGCGCGCCCAGCTCCAGACCCCCTGGGCCTGAGGGTGTCCACAAACAGCTGTGCCCAGGCAACTAGCCAAGCGGAGTTCCCGGGCAGAGAGAATCTCCATCTTCCGTCTCGGAACGCGTCTTTGCACTCCACGTTCCTGAACTGAATTTCCAGGGTTATGGATGACTTCTTTAATAGTAACATCGCACCAAGGCATCTTTCTCCACGCCAGTGCCGCCGCTGCCCGAGCGGCACCGCGTTCGCATCTCCAAATGCTGTAACAGGGACACTCACCTCGCAGGTAGTCGTGGCCGAGTGGTTAAGGCGATGGACTTGAAATCCATTGGGGTCTCCCCGCGCAGGTTCGAATCCTGCCGGCTACGGTTTTGGCCTACCCAGGGCGATGCTGTCTGCCTCCCTTCCGCTATTTAGAAGCGGGCGCCCCTCCAACGTCCGCATGGGCGGTGTAGTTGGCGTCTGAGCAGGCGACCTTCTTTTTCCTTAGCCGAAATCATCAGGGGTGGGCTTCCTCTGGGTATCCACTCTCTCCCAGCCTGGAGGTCTTTCATTGCTACTACGTGTTCTAGGGACCGCAGGGTTTATAGAACAGTATTTTCTTTTTAACAGCTTCCGTTTTTTTTAATAAAACAGTATTTTTTAAAAAACAGCTTCCGTTTCTTAAGAAAAAAAAAATCTTACTCTGTCCCAGGCACAGTATTGGCATTTATATTTTTTGTCTCATTTAATCACCAGTATGTTCCTATCATGTGGGTTATATGAGTCCCATTCTAAAGACGAAGAGACTGCTGACCCACTTGCCTAATGCTGCATAGTGAAATTATAAAGTCACTTTTTCACAAGTGCAACAGGGAACAGATTTATTTTTTAAACACGGTGGTTACCAGACTACGTGTCGTTTATATATAGAAACGATTTTTATACCGGATCATATTTATTAGGCATTTATAATGCACATTTTCTTCCCAAGGCTTTGTGTATCTTAACTTACATGGTCCTTGCAATATTCTTAAGAAACAGGTGCTACTGTTGTTCTATTTTACAAACCTAGAAACTGAGTCCCGTGGGCATAAAATTACTGGCTTCAGGTCACACCAGTGAGTAAGTGGCTGGGCTGAGCTCGAATTCTAGTTTATGTCTATAGCCAGGGAGCCAAACAGCTGGGGCGGACGAGGCGGCAGATGGGAGGCGCTTTCATAGCTGCTGTCTGCAGCTGGAGGCTGACGCCACCCCTGACTCTCATCCAGAGTCTGCCTCTCCCAAGTCCACGTGGCTGCCTGCTGTATGCTAAGTGTTCTGTGAGCCCAGCCATGGTTCCACAGCGATTGCTACTGAGCTGCATATAGATTAGTTTATAAAGAACATTACACGCATTCAATCTTTGCTGGAAAACTTCACCGAATTTCAGCTTCCTGAGAAGAATGGCCTTTCCCTGGAGCACTGTCTTAAATCAGGGGACTGTATGTTTCTGACGCGCTCTTCAGTTCCTTTGGCATATTTCTCCATCCCTGCACAAGCACCATGCTCTCTTGATTGCTATGGCTTTAGGCTGAGCATCTTTCAAAAATTTGAGACCCAAAACATTCCCAAATCCAAACTTTTTGAATGCTGACAAAACCATGTAGTCAAAACTCAGGCACACTGAAAATATTGTATAATATTGTATAAACTTGCCTTCATGCTACAAATATATATGCTGTATATGAAATATAAACTACTTTTTAAACTTAAATATGGGTACCACCCCGATAATCCCATTATGTATATACAAATATTGCTTCTTTTAATGGAAGATTTGTCTTTATATATTTGAAAGTCAGAGTTAAGAGATACAGAGAGAGAGAAAGGTCTTCCATGTGCTGGTTCACTCCCCAAATGGCCGCAACAGCCAGGGCTGGGCCAGACCAGAGCCAGGAGCCAGGAGCTTCATGCAGGTCTCCCATGTGGATTGCGGTGGGCCAAGGATTTGGGTCACCTTCTGCTGCTTTCCCAGGCGCATTAGCTGAGAGCTGGACTGGAAGTGCAGCAGCTGGAACAATTACCTGCATCTGTATGGAATGCCAGCTTTGCAGGTGACGGCTTTACCCACTAAACCACAACACCAGCTCCTGCAAATCTTCTAAAATAATAATACTAAAAAATACGAGATACTATTGGCCTTAAGCATTTCAGAAAAGAAATACTCAACCCATAATGGTATTTTTTCTTATCAACTTTTAATTCACTGACATTCACAGGAATTTGAAGCATTGTTGAGAGCAGCAATGTTGACAACTTGGGGGGTCTCCTCTTATTCCAGGTCAGGGGCTTTTGGCCATCCCTCTCCACTTCAGGATGCTCTCGTCCAGGGGCACCAGGTCAACCAGGACAGCCGCGAGGGGCACACAAACCCCCAGCTGGCCCTGGGGAGTCTTCACTGCAGGATTTGACGTCTAAAAGGATGGGGACTTGGACCTCGGGCACAGGTGAGCTCTAAGGCCCCCGAAAGAAATCATTCGGTCAGGCCCTGCCAGGGCATCAAGGCAGGCGAATTTTCAAAATGATCATTTTGTTTGGCCCACGAATGATGCGATCAACATTCACACGGCTCCCCATTCCAACACAG